TCAACTATACTTCAATGAAAGTAAGTAAATAAATAAATAAAATAAAATTCTGACTTTTTTCAGAATCACTGGCTTGTGGTAATAAAAACCAGACTAACTTCTGGTTTATTATGGTTTAAAAATCTCTTCAGATGCCACATGCCTTTATTGGATGCATCCAGCGTCCCACCTCCCCCACTTGGTACACCACTGCCTGATCCTTGTCTATTGGTACATTACTGTCAAGTCTAAGTGTTTAAGCTCCGGTTCTGCAGTTTAGATCCTGGCTTTGCATCTTATTTGCTGTCTTACTTTGGGCATATTTTTTATCCTCTCTGTGCTCCGATTCCTTATCTATAAATGGGAGTAGCAGTAGTACTCACATCATAGAGTTATTGTGCGTATTAAATGAGTAATGCATGCAAAGCGCTTTTCAGAGCATCTGGCACATGGTAAGTGTTGAATAAGTGTTAGCTGTTTTTGCTATTACTATCTGTGTCCTCCTCTCCAACCCCACTCCCGCTGCTTTGAATCAAACCCTTCTCTTCTCTCAAATGAGCAATTGCAGAATCTCCTGGTGGTCCTCCTGCCTCCAGACCCACTCCTCAGTTAGGTGTGGGGCTACCTTGTGCGTGTTTGATGAGTTGTTCCAAATCACATGGACTTCAAAATCATCACAGATGGAAACACAATTTGGACATAGTCTATTCAACTTCAAAGCCTGATACTGGTTATTCTACCTCTCTTATCTCTGAGATGTGCCGAAGAATCCTAGACCACTCCCTGTTTAAAACTATCTGCCTCCAAAACCTCATTTTGCCTTGATATCCTGTATTAGTTTTCTGAGTCTGCTGTAATAAATTGCCACCAACTGAGTAGCTTAAAACAGCAGATATTTATTCTCTCATAGTTCTGGAGGCCAGAATTCTGAAATTAAGATGTTGGCAGGGCCACGCTCCCTCTGGAGGCTGCAGGGGAGAGCGTGTTCTCTGCCTCTTCTGGCTTCTGGTGGCTGTTGACAGTCCTTGACTTGTGGCTGCACCTCTCTCCCCTCTGCCTCTGTGGTTACACTGCCTCCTCTTCTTCTGTGTGTCTCCTTTGTGTGTCTGTTAAATCTCCGTCTACGTTCCTCTTACAAGGACACTGTGATGGCATTTAGGGCCGACCCAGATAATCCAGAGTAATCTCATCTCACAAACTTTAATAATATTTGCAAAGACCCTTTTTTCCAAATTAGGTAACATTTACAACTTTCAAGGATTAGGACTTGATTTCTTTGCATGGCCATTATTCCACCTGTCATACATCCTAAACCACGTCTTTCTCACATGTTGCAGTTTCAATAGCAGATAGCACAGGTGAATGACTTACAGTTTAAATCAGAATTGAAGTATTTCCTCAAGGACTCAAAAAAAGTCTTTAAAGTAATCCTTAAAATAATTAAATTCTGTTAATTATTTAAGTGAAATGCCACCCTAGTTTCTTTTTATTAATATGTTTCTTCCTCTCAAAATTACCCAAAAACGTGCATTTTGGGAAAGAAACATTATCTACTAGCTAGAAAAGAAAATTATGTCTTAATGATACCAACCACAGGGATTGGCACAGAGAAGTCCCTAAGGGAGTGTCTGCACCAACCTGTCTGCAACACCATTCTTCATTATTTGACAACAACTTAGAAAATAGGGAGCCAGTGGAAATGAACCCCATGGCTGTACCACCATTCCAAGTACAGTCATGAGCCATGTAACAATATTTCAGTCAATGATCGACCACACGTATGACAGTGGCCCCATAAGATTAGTACCATACAGCCTAGGTGTGTAGTAGGCTACACCATCTAGGTTTGTGTAAGTGTACCCTATGATGTTCGTGCAATGACAAAATTGCCTAACAACACATTTCTCAGAATGTATACCCATCATTAAGCGAAACATGACTGTATAGAAACCACAGGAAGGATAATAATGGCATTAATAGTTACCATTTATTGAGTAATTTCTATATACAAGGCACTGTTTTAGTGCTTTAAATAAATTGTCTTATTTGACTTTCACAGCCAACTGTAAGTGATATCATTGTCCGTTTGCTTAGGTCACCCATTAAGAAAGTGGCAGAACCTAGATTTAAAACTTGGTCATTCTGATTCCAAAATGCCCACGTGTCTGACCACTTCGCTTTACTGCCTCCCCCTGAACTATATGGAGAGTAATAAGCAATATTAGCAGTCAGCTAATCCAATTCCCACTCAGTCATAATTCCCTGGAGTAGCCCAACAGCTGGCCACAAGAATAATGATGAGGTTGATAATTATTATTATTGAGTGCGTACCAGGAACCAGGCAAAGTGCCGATTTCTTTACGTGCATTATCGCTAATCTTTACAACACTCTCAGATATATCCTATTTTACGGATAAGAAAACTGAGAGCCAGAGACGTTAAGTAATTTACCTAGTGACACATATACAGTAAGTGGCAGGACTGGAATTCCAACCCAGCTGAAAATGGGATTGATAATGGTACTTCACCTCCTAAACTTGTGAGGATTAAAAGAGATAAAGATTGTGAAGCGTTTGGTCAATATTAAGCACTCAAGGACCGGCCCGGTGGCGTAGCAAAGTTCGCGCGCTCTGCTTCAGCGGCTGAGGGTTCGTGGGTTCGGATCCCGGGCGTGGACCGACACACTGCTTGTCAAGCCATGCTGTGGCGGCGGCCCACATATAAAGTAGAGGAAGATGGGCACGGATGTTAGCCCAGGGCCAGTCTTCTTCAGCAAAAGAGAGGAGGATTGGCAATGGATGTTAGCTCAGGGCTAATCATCCTCACAAAAAAATAAAAAACAGTAAGCACTCGATAAATGGTAGCTACCATCACCATTATCATCACGTTGGTAACTGCAGGTCTTAAAACTCTGATAAACTTTTTAAAGAGTGAGAAAGAGAATTGGCTCTACATTGGAATGCTGAGCACTCCTTTATTTACTGCATTGTGGGGCAAGATGTGGGTAGAAAATTAAAATATCCTCATATTCCCAAATTGATCATTAATTTTAATCTCTTCCCACAGAGTTTACAAATCTCTTATCACTGTTATTAATTGAAAGGCAAGGAAGACAAATGGACAGGTGTGATTTTCACCTCTTCTTGCTACCTCTATCTCTTTGCTCTCTTTGCTAATGAGCAGTTAAGCAGACAGAAGTGGGCAAGAGGACAGAGAGGGGGAAGCTGCATTGCTCCACAACTCACCCACTGCAATCACCTGGAGAAGGCTGCACTGAAAAAAATAATGATGTGGAAACTACTTCTGTTCATTGAGCACCAATGATATGCCAGGCGCAGGGCTAGGTGCTTCCTAGTACATTCTTTCACTTAGTTCTCACAAAACCCTTTCAAGGTAAGGTGTCATCACAGCCATTTTACATATTAGAAAACAGAAGCTCAGAAAAGGTAAGTGACTTGCTCACGGTCAGTTGGTAAGTGAATCTGGGATCTGAACCGAAGTCTGTCTAAATTCTCATGCCCATACTCTTTCAACTAGAGGACATAGGTGAAAAAATCATTAGCAATTGTAATTGGTGAGGTCAACTAGGTCAACCACCTGATTTTACAGATTGAGAAACTGAGGCACAAAGTACTAGGCACTGATACGTTACACAGCAAGTAAGATATAGATTCAGTTTGGGAACGCACTTCTCTTGCTGCTCAAATCATTACTTTCTTACTTACTAACAGTCTTGAAGGAGGAGTCTGTGGGCTGAGCCAAGGTAAAACGCAGCAGAAAATGTGGCACCACACTTTCCCTTATTAGACATTCCGTATGGAGCTCTCCATCAGCGTGTTTTGTATTGTTAGATATTTTATCTCCTCAACTAGACTCCAAACTTCTTGAAGGAAGGGATGGGACCTCATATCTCTCTGAATATCCCAGTGTTCAGCTTCCTCCTTCTATGCTAGTGCCTGACACTGTACACCCTATAGAAAGCAGTATCATGAAACCATAGAGCTCCAAGATTGGTATCATTTTTATTCTTTCTGTCCTTCCTTCAACAAGGATTTATTCATCTGCAGTCAAAGCTGGGCCCAGGGCCTCAGTTGATGTCTTCAGAGTGGTCTTTGTCTATCTCTTGAATGGATTCTTTCTACATAGTAGGCAAGATGACCACTTGATGCCCACAGTTCCTAGCAACGTCAGTAAAAAGAAACTGTCTTTTCCAATAGCTCTGAAAGGAAATCCCCCCAAGAAGACTATGATTGCCCTACTGTGGAGTCATAAACCAATCCCTGAACCAGTCATTGCAACTTGGCTGATACAGTGTTCTTGTTGCCCAGCCTGGTTCAGACCCACACATCCCTGTGACTTAGGGGTTAGAGTCTTCCCCACCTGAACCATGAGATATGTCACAAGGAAAGAGGAGATGCCATGACCAGAAGAAATGCTGCAAAGGAAAAGCAACAAATATCTTCTAAAAGTGCCTCCTGTGTCCCTGACTATAGATCAAGTGCCAAGTGGATGAAGCCAAATAAGACATGGGCCTCCCTTTGCCACACCTACCCCCATATGCAAATTGCTCCTAAACTAGTGGGAAAGGCAAACAAATAAGCGGATAATCAATGACAACCTTATATGACAAGTGCTAGGAGAGAGGGAAGCACAGGGAACTGCAGAATATGTTGCTTAGTTAGGGAAGGCCTTCAGAGGTGGTAAGCCATGAATCTTAAAAGATGAATAGGTACTAACTGGGTGAAGAAGGGGGAAAGGAGGTCCTTCCCAGCAAGTAGGAAGACCCAAGAAATATCTCATCTAAGCCTTTCGTTTGATGCTTGGAGGCCCTATTTAACATTCCAGCTGGTGATTGTGCCACCTCTGGTTGAATACTACTGTTGATGAACAGATCCCCTCAAAAGACACCTCTTTAGCTCTCAATCAATAGACAGTTGTTTGTATGTTGAGCTGAGATCTGCCTGCACAAATCTTGGTTGATGGATAGACAGTGAATGTGTCTGGTCCCAAATCTGATTTAGTACCGATACCGGAGCCTCCTGCAGCCAAACAAGTATGGGGGAACCATCTGCAGCGGCGATGTCTGGGATGAAGCCAGCTGTCACAGTCCCACCTCTTGTCTAAGGCAACCACAGTGTGGACAGGATTTCCAGTGTAAGGAGACAGGTGAGTAGCATTCCAGCAGGATAACAGCTGTGCTTGTCAAACTTCATGTGCAACACAGTTACCCGGGAACTTGTTAAAATGCAGACTCCTGAGCCCTTCCCCTAGACGCTGTCATTCTGTAGGTTTGGGACGGGGCCCAGGAATCTGCATTTTAAGCCAAGCCAGCAGCCTAAGTAATTTTAATGCAAGTTTTTAGGAATATCTGTTGATTCACTTAGAAAAGGTACAATTTGCTCATTCATCCATTCATTGAATAAATATTGAATAGGCACATAGTGTGTGCCAGGAAGTATGCTACCTGCTGGTGATATAGAGACGAAAAAATAATGTGCCTGATGTCAAGGTACTCCTAGTCTCTTTGGGAGAGAGACCTACAAGTAGTCGATGACAATATTGTGTGAAGCCAGTGTAATGGGCGTACATCGTGGTCCAATTGGACTCTCTGGCAGGGTGTGCCCAAAGCTGCTTCGGGGAGTCAGAGCAGGCTTCAAAATGGTACTTGAGCTGAGACTTAGAAAATAAAAGAGTTTGCTAGGAGAAAGAAGGTGCAAAAGCACAGGGATTTAGGGACTGGCTATCAGTGCAGGATAATTGCAGGTCAGGGCTGTGGGAAGAGCTGCAGGTGATGGGCCAGGTGGGTAGCCGGGGACCAGATCGTGGCATTTGGAAGATGGGGAATGGGGAGCCACTGGAGGGTACAGAGTTGGGGGATGACATGGTCAGACTGGCATTTTAGAAAGATCACTGGGCGGCTATGTGGAGGATGGATTTTAGAGGGGAGCCTGGGGCAGGCCCTGAGCTGAGGGGCTGCAGGTGGGAGACAGCGAGGCTTGAAGGAGGGCAGAGGCAGTGAGGACGGAGAGAGGATGGAACAGGATGGAGAGGATTGAAGGGCTATATCAGAGGGGGACTTGGACTTGGTGACTACGGATGCGGGTCATGAGGGAGAAGGAAGAGTCCGGGAGGCTCTCGAAGCATCCACAGCCTCTTCTCTCTCAGGTCGCTGCCTGAAACGCCACCTCGTGTGTAATGGAGACAGGGACTGCCTTGATGGCTCTGATGAGGATGACTGTGAAGACGTCAGGGCCATTGAAGACGACTGCAGCCAATACGACCCCATTCCAGGATCGGAGCAGGCGGCCTTGGGGTGAGTCACTGCCTTCTAGCTGCTCAGAGGCAGGGAATGATTTCTCTTCAAACGTGACTATTAGCTTTGGGGAAAGAAGAGGGTCTTTTTTGGAGGATTCCACTGCAGTGCATCCATGAGGCAGCTCTCACTGTCCCCCTAAGGTGGTGTCTTAGTCTATTTGGGCTGCTATAATAAAATACCACAGACCGGGTAGTTTATAACAACAAAAATCTATTCCTCACTGTTCTGAAGGCTGCAAATCTGAGACCAGGGTGCCAGCATGGTCAGGTGAGGGCGCTCTTTCAGGTTGCAGACTTCTCGTTGTATCCTCACAAGGTGGAAGGGGCACCGTAGGGTCTCTTTTATAAGAGCACTAATCCCATTCATGAGGGCTGCACCCTCATGATTTGAACTTTGGGGGAACACATTCAGTCCACAACAGGTGGCTTGCCCAGTCCCGCCTGCGTAACATGGCTCATGCTTCCCCTCTATGTCTCTGCGTGAGGCTCCTCCTCTCCTTTAACCCCTTACCACTCTACTGCTCACTCCTCTCAGCCCAGTTCCATTTCCAAGGCCCAGGTAAGAAGCCACATCTTCCATGCAGCCTTCCCTGATGTCCCCCAAAGATACCTCTTCTCTGACCCAACCACACTTTGCAGTAGCCCTGTTCACATTCTGCTTTGCACTATAGTTGCTGGTATAACCAGGGCTAACGTGTGACCCAGTACAAAGAAAATGGGCTTTGGGGTGAGATGGAGAGGGGTTTGAATCTACACTCTGCCATTGCTTACTTTCATCTCCCAGGCCACAGTTTTTTTATCTGTCAAGATTCAGTCAGCCTTGATTCTAACTTCTCTTCATCATGTACGTTATGTTCAGGTTCAGTTCCTTGAATGCATCACACTCTTTTCTTCTGAGACTTAACGAAGTTAGGTCCTTCTTTCTGGAATGTCATTCCCCATATTCCTAACCTGGCTAACTCTTTGCATAGTGTTATGGACTGAATTGTGTCCCCCTAAAATTCACGTGTTTTTGAAGTCATAACCCTCAATGCAACTATGTTTGGAGATACGGCCTTTAGGGAGGTAATTAAGGCTAAATGAGGTCATAAGGGTGGGGCCCTAATCAGGTAGCACTAGTGTCCTTATAAGAAGAGGAAGGGACACCAGAGAGCTCTCTCTCATCATGTGTACAGAGAAGAGGCCATGTGAGAACACAGCAAGAAGGCGACCGTTTGCAACCCAGGAAGAGAGTTCTCACCAGAAACCAACTCTGACAGCGCCTTGATCTTAGACTTCCAACCTCCAGAACTGTGAGAAAATCAATGTCTGTTCTTTGAGTCACCCAGTCTGTGGTGCTTTGTTGTGACAGCTCAAACTGAGTAACACACCTAGGCATCATTCTCTAGGCTCTCTTCTTGACACCCGCCTCCCTTCCTAGACACTGTCCAGGCTGGCTTAGTCCCCTCCTGTTGCTCCCAGAGTCCCTTGTGTGTCCTACCCTCACAGCCCAACAGGGCTGGGACATCTATTGGAGTGTCCGTCTGCCTGGGGTGAGAGCTCCTCATTATCTCTGCTTCCCCAGCACCCAGCACACCCACCGAGCTCCTAGTGACATTTGGTATTGTTACTTCCCTGCCACTTTGTCTTTGCTTTGCATCTTGTCCCCTAACTTGAATGTAAACTCTTTGAGGGCAGAGGCTGCTTCTGATTCATCTTTTTCATCTCCTCAGCCCCTTGAGAGCTTTTCCTATAATAGCCTCTCACTGAATATTGGTTGAATTGAAACAGATCAATATGACCAGCTAGGTCTTCACAGACGAGGAAACAGGGAGATGTAGTAATCACCACAAAGTGATCAAGCCATGTTGTGGCCCACTCAGGATGAGGTGCAGGTTCTGTGAAATGCAGCTCTCATTCATTATGGTTTAATTGCTCTGAGATCACAGCCCACCTACCAGATAGGATAGAATCCTGTAAGTGCGTGTAGACACATATGAAAAGATGACCAAATTCTGTTATCTTTCAGACTAATTGTATGAGCGTGCTAGGGCTGCCATAACAAAGTCCCACAAGGTAGTTGGCTTAAGCAACAGAAATTTATTTTCTCACAGTCTGGAAGCTAGAAGTCTGAGACCAATGTGTCAGCAGGATTATTTCTTCTGAGGCTTCTCTCCTTGGCTTGTAGATGGCCATCCTCTCCCTGTGTCACCACATGGTCTTTCCTCTGTATGTGTCTGTGTCCTAATTTCCTCTTTTTTAAGGACACCAGCCATATTGGATTTGGGCCCTCCATAATGACCTCATTTGAACTTATTTACCCCTTTAAAAACCCTAGCTCCAAATACAGTCCAATTCTGAAGTTTTGGGGTCAGGACTTCAACATATGAATGTTGAGGGGATATGATTCAGACCCAACACCAATAAAAGTGGATTCTTGTTGATTGTGAAAGTGAGTGTGGGATGAACAGAACAGAAGCATGAGATATTGAGGTGTTGACTTAAAAATAATTCCTTCCTTATTGGCAAAAAGATTGCAGCCCATGACCTTCCTGCCATGTGATTCAGTCGGAGGCCCTTCAGATACACATCCTGAGTGGTATGCTTGGCCCACACTGAACGCCGACACCAATAGAATGGCCCCTCCTCTGCTCCCAACAGCGGACATCTTGATGGCTTTACTGTTCTCTCAAGATCTCAGATGCCTTTCCTGATATCTTTTTTTTCCCTAATTAATCATTTCCCAGTTTTTAATTTTTAGTTATTGTTGCAGAAGTAATACATGTTTGAAATAAAAACGTAAAGTCTTCCTTCAGCCTCCCCCACCAGCACCCCTCCAGTCTCCCCTCTCACTTCCCTCCCTAGAGCTGACCTCTGACATCAGTTTGCTGTAGGCACCTCCAGATCGTGTAAAAATGCAGTTATGATATACATTGTATGGAAAATATGCCTATATGTATTGTGCATTATAAGTGTAGCACATTTTACATAAATGTGATCATGCTATGCATATTATCTGTAACTTGCTTTTTTCAGTTAATAATATATTTTGAAAATTTTCCCCACATTTTCTATTGCCTTTTTCTAAGCGATATAGTATTCTATAACAGCACTCAGTAAACTGTGGTGTGAAGGCCAAATTCAGCCTACTGTCTGGTTTTGTAAATAAAGTCTTATTGGAACACAGCTCTTGCCCTACATTGACAGAGTTGAGTAGCTGCAACAGAGACCTATGGCCTGCAAACCCTGAAATATTTACTATATGGCCCTTTATAAAAAAAAATTGCTGACTCTTCTCTTGCAGTATAACTATATGAAATTTGACTACTTCCTATTGAAAGATAATTGGATTGTTTCCCATTTTTTCTCCCTTATATACAATGTAGCAATGAACATCCTTGTACACGTATTTTTGTACATATATGTGATATTTTTGCACAGATTTCCAACAAGTGGAATTTCTCAGACAATGTCTTTTCATTTTCACTAGGGCTTCTGCAACCACAATATATGTAGCTTTACTAATGCTTAGGGGTTACGGTACAATCTTAGGGCTTATTATTTCTTTGAGTTTTTGTTTGGCCTATTAGAGAGCCTGTGTTTATAAGTTACAGACAGGAACTTGTGCAATAGGGGAAAGATAAAAACTGTAGGGTGGAGTAAAGGGAAGGAACACAAATTTTAGTGTCAAAAAAATCTAGCTGTGACTATAGGCAAGCTATTTAATTTTTCTGAGCTTCAATTTCTGCATTTATAAAATTGTCATGAGGTTGAAAGCTAATGTATGCTAAGTGTCTGGTAGAGTGTGTATTCAATTCATCATAGCTGTTATTACATCACCTCCACTAATATGAAGAAAGCTATGGAGAAAGAAGAAAAAAGAAGTTAACATATATTGAATTTCTACCATATGCCAGGTGCTCTATAATTAGCTATTTATTCCTTTAAGGTAAGTTTTATTTACAGTTCTTTCTCTGCTCATCTTCTGCTCTTGTGCCTTTTCACAGATGGCATAAAAAAACATGGTAAATGCCATGCCAGAGGTAATCATTGATGCCATGGGAACATAGAGGAAGGGACAACTGTCTGTCCAGGCAGTCACAGAGGAGACAATGTGTGAGTTGAGTCTTAAAGGCTTAAAGCTTGAGAAGCAGAGACAAGCAGTCATTTTATTATCTATAACATAAAAGGCTTTTGTTGTCAGGTCTTGGAACTCCTAGCCAACTCTAAATGTTTTTGTTCAGTTGACTTTCTCTTTTTAGAAAATTAAAACTGTATTTTACCTGCTTAACATTACTTTTACCTAAATATGGTAAAACCATCATGACCTAAAACATGGAACCTGGGCAGACAGATGTGAAATACCCCAGAGAAGGAAGGATGGGAAATATTTCTGGACGGGTCTTGGGCCAGGGGAAAGGAAGTAAGGAAGTAGTACTCACTGAGAATCCAGTATGTTCTATCAACTTCCCGTCTGTTTTACTCTAACACTCTCAGGTAGACTTTACAAAACCATGAGAGGTAGCTTTATTACTACCTCTGTTCTTCAAGTGAGGGAAATGAACTTCATAAATCTTCTAGAACGTGTCCGAAGCCACAGAGCTAGTAAATGACAGAGCTGGAAATTAAACAGGAGTCTCCTGATGTCCAAACCATGCACCTTCCGACAGTCCATGCGCCTTTCTGAGGACCTGATTTTCAGTTTGGCACTCTGAGTTACACTCCATATTTCAAACCTATTTCTTAACAGCTTGTATTTTCTGAAACAATACAAACAAAAACAACAGCCTCATCTATTCAATACTTAATATATGCTAAGTGCTGTATGATTTCTTTGCATGTTTTAACTCATATTTAACTCTGTGAGGGCGGTAGTATTAACTGCTTTTTACAAATGATTAAACGGAGGCACAGAGAGGTTAAATGATTTGCCCAAGGTCACACAGCTAGATGTCACAGAGTTGGGAAACAGGCTTGGACTCTTGATAATTGTTCATCTTCCTCTCTAACATCTTCAACAAATATTGAAGAGTGCCTTCTATGTGGGAGGAGTATTCTAGATGCTGAATGGAGCTGTCTGGCTGCTCTGGTTGATGGGAGCCTGAGGGCCCAGGCCCAGCCCATTCAGTCTCCCAGTGTGGCCATTAAGATGCTTCAAGGAATCCCAGGGCTGGACAGAACACAGTTCAAGAAACCACTGCTCAAACCACCAGCTGCAACATCTTCCAGAGGAAATTTTGTGTTATATTTGCCTTTCCAGTGTTCTTTCCCAGAAGCTGCCTGCCTTTTCAATTTAGGTATAATATCCTGACCCAAGAAGAAAGTCAGAGTGTGTACGACGCCAGGTACTATGGGGGCCAGTGCGAGACGGTATACAATGGAGAATGGAGGGAGCTGCGATACGACCCCACCTGTGAGCGTCTATACTATGGAGAGGATGAGAAGTATTTCCGGAAACCCTACAACTTCCTGAAGTACCATTTTGAAGTAAGTCTGAACGAGTGCGCTCACAGGCCACATTAGGGAGGGGGTAGGGAGGGAGAGGCCTGTTGGTGGAGATAGGTGCTTGCTTTGGAACATTTTATTTCCTGTAGAGCTTGCTGGTGGCTGAAGGTCCCTTTACATCTCTCCCCCGATGTGCTCAGGGCTGAAGGGTGCTGAGAGACATCACATAAATGTGACCACCTACCTGCTAGATTTTGGCTCCACTCCAAAATTGATCAAATAGATTCAGGGCCCTATTCTCTGGGCTGCTAGTCAGAAGACCTATTGCCAAACGGTGGCTCTGTTAAACTATAGGTATTAAGACCTTGAGAAGCTCACTGACCCTCCCTGGGCCCAGTTTCCTAAGATGTAAAGTGGGGGGCAGGACAGGAGGTGGCTGGGAGGGCTCTGAGACCTATGCCCTTGCTTCACCAAGAGCAGCTCCCACTGATCACTTTCGTATCTTGGTTTTCTATGTATGATTTTGTTTGAAGAAAGAGTTCTGCTGTTGAAAAGTGCTTGCAAAACTGCTGATGATCTCTAAGATTCTCTCCATCTCTAAAATTCTGTGGTCTCCTGGTCACTCGGAGCACTGCGGAGCTCACGGTCAGCTCCAGAGCCTGCTCCCCACCGCTCGTTTCTCTATCCCTCACCCTCTGGGTGAGACGTCCACGCAGCAAACCTCACTAGATGCTTCCCATGTGTCAGAACTTCTCCTTCCACACAAATTTTCCTGTTTAATCCTATGACAACACAATGGGATAGATATTATCATTGCCCATTTTGGATATTAAAAAAATATCAAAATATCACCCAAAGACGTAGAGGGATAAAGTGTCAGGCTCAAAGCTATATTGCAGTAGGTGGCAGAGACAAGATTCAAACTCAGATCAGAACTCAGCCTGGCTATGTGTCATTTAGAAGGGAGGATGGATTATACACCTTATACAGTCATACACACTATATCTATACACATTCTCTCTATAGAGATATAGAGACGCTGTGATCCCAGGATTCTGAACAATTATCTAGTCACATCCCTCCTTCCCCAAGTTTCTCAAGAAAAACTATTGACAGAGGATAAGGCCAGGCTGATGGAGTCTGTTTTTAAGAAGTTGACTCTCCTCATCCCATTTCCGTGTCTACCGTCAGGCCTGCAGTAAGCCAAGCTGGAAGACATAGACAACACCATTTTCCTAAGCTCAAGGATGGTCTAGGGCCTATGTGTCAGGTAAGATAGACTAGGCTATGCTGTGGCAGCAAAGGACTCTAAAATCCCAGTGCTTTAAAGCAACAGTGCCCTACTTATGCTACTTGTCCATCCTAAGGTGGAAAGGAAACTCATCATCACAGACACTCAGGACCCAAACTAATGGCTGCTCTGTCTTAACATATGATCTTGTGATTGTAGAGAGAACCCCTCATAGGCTCTTAACCCTTGCTTCCTTGGCTCAAGCAAGGCACAAGACCAAGCCTCAGCTCAAGTTGTAGAGAAAGGCAACCCTACCATGTGCCTGGAATTAAATAACCAAACATTTGTGAGCAGCACTAAAACATACCTCTGCCTAGAACTATCATCATCTGCATGGCTTCCTGTGCCCCTTTCCACCCAGGTCCACACCCAGACATGGCTTTCTGTATCTTGTCTCTCCATTGCAGGGCCAAGTGATCTTCTCTATAGGAAGGAGAAGCCAGCTAGAGAGAAATCCATGCTCAGAACAATATAGCATTTTATCAGAATCATCTATGTGTGTATGTGTGTGTTTAAATAAATATTTTAGCAGTAACACTAAACACTGCTATATTTTATGTATTTTAGTGAATATCAATCTTATGCATGGATTAGCATTTTAAAAGAATTATTTATGATAATCTGAAATTTTAGAGATTTTACAAAGGAAAGATTTAAATACTAAGTATGAATTGAAATATAACTCTATATGCACAAAGCTAACATCTATTTGTTCCTTTTCAGGCCCTGGCGGATACTAGAATCTCCGCAGAGTTGTATGATAATGCAAATGACCTTCTTTCTAAAGTGAAAAATGACAGGTCTGTGTCAACTGGAGTGACCGTTGGCCTAGGCCTCCCAGACACGCCTGTAACAGTGGATGTGGGCGTATCTGAGTCACAAGTCTCTTCGTTCTTGGATAAGTTAAACAAGTATAATAAGAAGGTATTAAAACATAACGCCTGTGTCACACAGTATTCCATAAGCTGCACTGAACACGTATTACCTTAATTGCATTAAAAAGTACAGTAGTAATTGAACCTTCATTTGCTTGTGTAATTGGAAATGTCTGATCAGTGCTAATCATGTTTGTTTTTCTTATTACGCTTTTGTGCACAGAATCATCACAAAGGGAATAAAATTGAATGATAAGACTAGAACGCTTATCACCTCACCCCATCCTTTTTCATGGTTACCTGGAACAGATAGGGAAGAAATAGTAATGTCTTCAAGAGAAACAGCCAGGCCCTCTACTAAAGGAGGCCTGGAGAATTCTAAAGGAGGTTTGCTTTTCCACGTAGATCGAGGGCTGGCATGCTCAATCAATCTTTCATTTACTCGTCAAACATTCACCATGAACTGCCTGTTATCTCGAGGAGTCAGTCAGTGCTTTCTTGAGGAAAGGGCATCTATCTGAACTGAGATCTAAAGACTAGTACAGTTGTCCAGATGGAGGGAGGCAGAAGTTAACAGGAGGGTGTTCTAGGCCCAGGAAACAGCACGTGCAAAGGCCGGGAGATGAGAGAAGGCCTCACACAAGTTTGGGATTGAAAGTACTTCAGCTGGTTGAAGCTCAGGGTGGGAAGGGAAAGTAGAGAGTAATGGGGATGGAGAGGTAATCAGGAGCCAGAAAAATATTTATTGAATTTGTTAGAAGTTTACCAAAAACCTCGATAACATTGTTACCAGAACTGTGGATTTAGTTGGGGCTCAAAAAATTATTTTGGATGATGAAAATACAGTTATAAAAATTAACTTACTCAACAAATATAAATTACATCCTGGAGCTTTGCTACTAATTAGCTTTTGCTCTGAAGGAAAAGTATTGTTGTGAGATCTGGCTTTCACATATTAATGTGGACTTTTCTAAAAGCAGGTGGCCTCTTCAAACTTTCACTATCACTTTGGATCAATCAAGGTTTACATCACCTGGAAGTAACGTCCATACTTGACCCTCTTCCTCTGAAGCCAATACAGCATCACCCTGGTCCTGTCTCTTTTTTATTATATCAGGATCTTGCTTTTCTTCATTACTTGATAGAACAAGATTACCTCTAGGATGTAAGCTCCATGAGGGCAGGGGCCTATCTCATTCAAGAGTACGTCCTCTGTACCTAGCATAATGCATATGACTACAGGCACTTACAGATATTTGTTCAATACGTTAAATAAATTAATAATATTGACATTTCACAACGTCACCAATAATATTCCTAAGGATAATTTTTAATGGATCCCTAATACTTGTGTAGGAGGTTGCATAATGCAGTGCTTTAATTAGAGCAGGGAGAAATATAGAGGTGAAAATGGACTGGAGCAGAATAGAAGTGAGAAGCACAGTGAAGCACATTGTGGTAACTAATCCATCTGAGAGTTGATGAGAACTTGACCTGGACAGGAGCAGTGGGAACAGAGATGAAGGCATGGGAGAAGAAGCCAGGCACACACTGTGTCTGATACATGCTTGTAAAATAATAATACTCCATTGTATGTATTTATGCTCATATGTTTATATGTAAATATATATATATTTCCCACAGCTACCTAGAGCTGACTTTTGCATTATCTCATATGGTAAAACGAATACTCTATTTGTTCTTTTCTCTTGTTCAATGGTGGTTGTTGCTGTTGGCAGAAATATAGCTTCATCAGAATTTTCACAAAGGTGCAGACTGCTCATTTTAAGATGAGGAGGGACAATATCATGCTGGATGAAGGAATGCTGCAGTCATTAATGGAGCTTCCGGAGCAGTACAATTACGGCGTGTATGCCAAGTTCATCAATGACTATGGCACTCATTACATAACGTCTGGATCAATGGGTGGCATTTTTGAATATATCCTGGTGGTTGACAACGAAAAAATGGGATCAATTGGTAAGTAGAACAGAAGCTTTATGCACACAGTGGTCAGTGCAAACACCAGGACACGGTTTGCAGTTTTCTTAGCACTATGAGCCATGCATGACCTCATTTAGTCTTCATGACAACCCTATAAGGTAGCGTTAGTATTCTTATTTACAGGGAATTGAGGTCCAGAAGGGCATGACTTGCTAATAAGTGCCACAAACAGGATTTGAACTCAGACTTGTCTGGTCCCCCCAAAATATGTGTTTTCTATTACACTACAGTTGCCTCTTTAATAATGAAGAATCTTTGGGATTTTGTTATTTAAAATGTTAAAAACATATTAAATGTAGATTCTTAGTTAATGGAACTGCCATACAATCAGTCAGTAAAACCAGAAACCTGGAGTTGTCCCACATTCTCCCTTCTCCTTCACCCCTGTACATCTCTAAGACCCTTCAGTTCTCTCTCCTGAACAGCTCTCATCCAACCCCTCTTCTCCACATCCTCTCCTGCAGTGGTAGGCTGGGTTCTCATCTTTCATTTATTACTGCATCGGCTCCTAACTGATCTCTAGGGGAAGGCTCACTCCTTCCAACCCATCCTGAACAATTGCCACCAGAAGGATCTTTCTACTTCACAGATCTGATGATATCACTTCCTTGCCTGAATAATAGAGAATAAAGTCTAAACTCCTTAGCATGACGTCAACAACCTTCATGGTCTCATTCCAAACTACTAGAACAATGGTTCTCAAAGTGTGGGCTCCAACTGGCAGCAACAACTTCACTAGGAAATCTGTTAGAAATATACATGCTCAGGCTCCCATCCCAAACTTACAAACTCAGAAACTCTAGGAATGGGCCTAGCAATGTGCGTCTCGATAAGCCCTCCAGGTAATTCTGATGCTCATAATGGTGTGAGAACCACCAACCTAGTCAACGAATGAGTAGAAGGGTGAGGGATCTATCCATATTTCAAAGCCAAGTTCAAATTCCCACTTTCAAAAAATTTCCCTGACTGCACTAGCCCAAAGTGACTACTTCTTTTTTTCAACACATTCATATAAGTTCCACACTGTTTAGTCTTTAAAAAATAATTTTCCAAATGTTAATGTTTTTCTCCTCATTTCGATAGCAAGATCTTTGAAAGCAAGTATCGTGTCTGACACTTTTCTATCTCTTATAATACTCAACACAGGGCTTAGAACACAGTGAGTGTGCAAAAAATACGTGGAGTTTGAAAGGGGATATTGATTTAGATTCCTGGCTAGGTTCATTCATTAATTCATTAATCTATCCATGAATTTATTTTTTTATAATTCAAATATCTGTTGAGTATCTATCATGTGTTTGTGCTAGGGATACACGGTGAGCAAATGTAAATATGGTTCCCACCCTCCTGCAGTACAGTACTTTTCAACCTGCAGGTTGCAACCTAATAGTAGGTCTTGAGATCAATGTACAGATTACAAACAACGTTCTGAACAACAACAACAAAGGATAAAATAGAAAGTATGATAGTGAATTGTAGGTGGTGAAGATAAGTTATTGCTTCAAGAAACTTCTTCCAGTTTAATAAAGACATGCATACATGCACGCAATCATGATACAAAATAAGTAGTTTAGTGTGGATCAATATCAAAAAAGAATCTGAAAAATTTAATTCAAGTGGGTCTTTTTAGAATCATTCAAATATGTGAGGAAGGAAAAAGAGCTAACGTTTGTTGAGTAACTACTATGTTCCAGGTGCTGTGATGTATATTCTCTTTGAATTTTCTTGACAGCACTTGGAAGTTGGTGTTATTCCAGTTTTAGTCCCAGAAATGCAGAGGCTTCTCAGGGAGGTTCATTATTTTGCCCAGGGCTGCAGAAAGCTGGCATCAGAGCACTGGACCTAGGGTCTTGCCACCATGTGGTTGTGGGGGAGCCTTTCAGTTGGTCTGTCTTTGGTGTTGGGTTACTAATTAATTGTCTGGGGTATCTCATGGCCCCTCCTCTTTAAAATTTGTGAGGCTGAAATAGGCTTCCAGTGTGGTTAATATTCAAAAGGAGCACACCAACAAATTGTCCCAGGGATAATTACCTCAGCTCTGTTTATAGAAAACCATATGTCGATAATAGCACAATTTGCTATTTGTGAAGAGCTGATTTTCTATAAATCCGGAAAGTTAGTGTTGCTTTTCTATAAATATGGAAATGTGCTAATCATCACCTCATCTGCTGGAGACTGCTAATAAATCAGAATGTCATTTACATATTAACCTACAAAGAACAAAAACATCTACCTTCTTTCCCTTTGGCAAATGGAACCATGCATACCCTCCCTCCATGTTTGATGTCTGTCTAGTTTTCTCTTTGTCTTTCTCTCATCCCCTCTCTCTTACTTCCTTTCTTTCTAGGTGCATCTCTCTCTCTCTCTCTCAACCTGTTTCTCTGTCTTTCCTCTTTGTCACTGTCTTTTTCTCTCTGTGTATCTTTGATCTATATGACTTTAATAATATTTATATTCTATTAAGAGCTTGTCTCTAAGAAACACTCCGTGTGGTACACATTCGTGTCCTCAAAGAGCTGAGCTTGGTATGGCATGATTGAGCTGAACACATCAGCTGGTTTGTTCTGGGGGCATCTTTTGTCCTTGGTTTGCCTCAGATCCTCTCTGGGTTCGTCCCAGAGGATGCACAAGGCTGTTTTCTTCTAATGAGTCCTTTAGATAAAATGCTTCTCCCCCAAAGACAGCATGAAATCTTGCATCAAAAATCGAGGGAAGTCTTGGATGTTGAGGAGGTGATGTTAGACTTCAATGGGATCCTACACTTTTTCCTCAAGGGCTGCGGCTGACAGCTTTCTACCTTCTACAGGAATCAGGATGTATTTGGGCTTGAATTTCTGGATTTAGACTTTTTTTCTCCTTCACCCTTCTTTGGAGATCTTATTATTTGTCTTTATATCAAGGTATGACAAAGAGAATAGAGTATTCACCATTCTGGCTTCTCTGGAGTCTGGCCCAGTTATAGAGTTGACAACATACCTTGAGCAGGTCAAGTACTTCAGTAACACTTTCTATTCGTGTATGTTTCCTGCCTCCTTTTGCACGTGCTGTGCTGTCCACCTCCAGTGCTCTTCCCTGTCTTCCCAACCTGACAGACTTCAACTCATCCTTATGAACCTTGTCTGGGCATCTCCACCTCTTTGAAACCTACCCCTTCTCCCATAGTTTTGTTGGTTCATACATTCATTCATTCAACCATGTTCACTGAGTTTGTATCATGTGCCAGATGAACAAAATCAATATGGTCCCTGTTTTTGCAAAGCTCATGATCTAGTGGAGAAACTAAATAAACAGCCAAAAATCCATATGTCATCCTAGGTTCCTCCTTTACTTCCTGTTCTTCATCAGCAAGATCTGTTGACTTTACTCCTAAAGCATACGTGGTATCTGTCCTCCCATCTCTGTTACCATTTGACTAGTCCCAACCAGCATTCTCTCTCACTTGGACGCTGCTGGAGTATGATGGTTTTTCTTTCCTTTCCTTCCTTCCTTCCTTCCCCCTTCCTCTCTTGTTCCCTCCATCCTCTCTTTCCTTCTTTTCCCTCTCTCTCTCTCTTTCTTTCTTGTTGTCATCATCATTCTAACATACCAAGCTTATTTTAGCCAAAAGTCTTGGTATTAGCTGTCCTTTCTGTCTGGGCTACCCTTCCCTCTGATGTTTGAATAGATGTAGTCTAATCATTCAGATCCCAACTTAAGCTACCTTTTCAGAGAGGCCTTCCATTACCATGAAGTCAAGTCCCTCTTTACTATAGCACCCCATTTTAATTCTCAGAAAATCACTATGTATTCAGTAGTTACCATGTTCATATACTCATTTGTTTATTGTCAACCCCCTCTTTCCATGAAAGCAGGGATCTCATTTGTTTTGTTCATTGCTACATATTCATTTCCTATAACAGTGTCTGGCACATAGAAGGGCCTTAATAACTTTTGTTGAGTGAATGAATCAATATATAATTGCAAATTGTGATAAGAGCCATGAATAAAATGAACAGGTTGTAAAAAGAGAGAATAACTGTGGAGGTGGGGGAAGGGGATGAGGATGATCTGGGAAAGTCTCTTTGAGGAGGTGAAATCCAGACTGAGATGAGATCCAAAGGATAAGACAGACTCAAAAGACAAGAGGGAAGGTGTCCTGGGCAGAGTGGACAGCCTGGCATGTTTGAGAATGGAAAGAAGGAATGTATGGCCGAAGCCTTGTAGATAAGGGGAGAATGGCAGGAGCCGAGGTGGGAAGAAACCTAGAGTGGTCTCAGAGTGTCTTGTCAGCCATGGTGAGAAGTGTGGACTATATCTGCAGTGAAATGGAAAGCCAGTGCAGGGTTATCAGCAGGGCAGAGCTTGGTCTAAGCTCTGTGCCTGCAGATCATTCCGCTGCTCTGTAGAGCACAGATTACATGGGGTGAGAGTGGACTCCGGGGGAAGACTTAGAAGGCTCTTGCTGATGTCCAGGTAAGAAATAAAGATTGGAAATGAAAGAATATGATAGATTTGGGATCTAATTTGAAAGGAGAATTTAGATAATTTACAGATGGCCTGGCTGTGAATTGTGAGATGTTAATCACTCCTTCCTCTAAATTATATTTCCACCATACACACATACGCACAAACATACGTGCACGTGCACACGCACCCACACATATATTAGGGTAAGAAGGACATGATGAGTTTGCCTGAGGGTGCCAGCTTCCTGGTAGAGATGCCCTGCAGGCATTCGGATATATAGCAGAGATTCTGGAGCCAAGAGAAGACTCCAGAATATTTATTTTTGAAATGCATACATTATGCCAATTGTAACTACATATTTGTCTCTTCTAGTGGATGATGAACTTTTACATCTAAGTTCTGTGCCTTTTCTCACTGGGATATTTTTGTACCTAGCACTGGGCTGGGCCCATAGTAAGTACACAGGTGAATACTTGTTGAGCTGAACTGAACTTGTCCTATTCTCCGACTGCTAATTCTCCATCATTTTT